CCCTCCCTCGCCTGCGCCGCCCTGCATTCCTTGCGTCGAGGGGCGGCAGCGCGCCGCTCCTCACTCCTCCTCGTTCCCTCCCACAGAGGCTCCACTGCAGACTCTCCACTTTGACGTGTGGGGCCCAGCCCGCGTCCGTGGACAGGGCCACGAGCGGTACTTCCTGCTGGTCGTCGACGACTACACGCGTTACACCACGGTCTTCCCCTTGTAGTGCAAGGGGGAGGTCCCTGATGTTTTGATCTCCTGGATCCGCGCTGTTCGTCTCCAGCTCCGCGAGCGGTTCCACTCGGAATTTCCTGTCCTGCGTCTGCACTCTGACAGGGGTGGTGAGTTCTCCCCAGACTTCTTAGCAGCCTTCTGTGCGGAGCACGGCATCCGCCAGACGTTCACGCTTCCGACCTCTCCGCAGCAGAATGGGGTTGCTGAGCACCGCATTGGCTTGGTCATGGAGGTCGCTCGTACCTCCATCATCCATGCAGCTGCCCCTCATTTTCTATGGCCCTTTGCGGTCCGGTACGCTGCGCATCAGCTCAACCTCTGGCCCCGTGTCTCCTTGTCGGAGACCTCGCCCACACTGCTGTGGACGGGGAAGGTTGGTGATGCGTCGCGTTTCCGGGTCTGGGGTGCTCGTGCCTTTGTCCGCGATACCACCGCGGACAAGCTCTCCGCTCACGCCATTCCTTGCGTCTTCCTTGGCTTTGTCCCTGACGTGCCTGGCTGGCAGTTTTACGACCCCGCCTCACGCCGTGTCTTTCCGTCTCAGGACGTCACCTTTGACGAGTCCGTCCCCTTTTACCGTCTCTTTCCCTACCGCACTGCCCCTCGCCCCCCCCCGCCGCTCTTTCTTGCCCCAGGTCCTCACCAGGTAGACCCCCTCCCCGCGCCAGGTCCTGCTCCTTCAGGTGTTTCTCAGGTAGACCCTCCCCTGCGCCTGTTGAGGTCACTGGTGACTCAGGTCCTGCTGGGGGTGGTGCTGTCTTTGGGGGTGCTGGGCCTGGGGGTGCGGAGCTTGGGGGTGCTGAGCTTGGGGGTGCGGAGCCTGCGCGTGAGGAGCCTGGAGGTCCTGAGCCTGGGGGTGCGGAGCCGGGGCGAAGTCTGGGGGCGCCGAGCCTGAGCGTGAGGAGCCTGGAGGTGCTAAGCCTGCACGTGGGGAGCCTGGAGGTCCTGAGCCTGGGGGTGCTGTGTCTGGAGGTGCTGAGCCCGGGCTTGAGGAGCCTGGGGGTACTGAGTCTGGGGGTGCGACGCCTGAGGGTTCTGAGTCTACTGCTGCGAGGTCTCCTTGGAGTAGCCGCCTTCGTCCGCGTGTGCCTCTCACCTCACAGCAGCTGCACGACTGGTACGGTCGCCGTCAGGGTCGCGCTTCTGGAGCTCGGGGCTATGCTGCTGGAGGTACTTCTGCTGATGTCACTGGAGCTGAGAGTGGTGCTGGTCCTTTGTCTACTGGAGGTGCTGGAGTCGCTGGTCCCGGAGGTGCTCGTAATAGAGGTACTGGAGCTGCTGGGGCTGGAGGTACTGTGTCTGAGGGTGCTACTGCTCGAGACCCTGGGTCTGGGGGTGCTGCTACTGGAGGCACTGGGGCTGGAGACCCTGGGCTTGGCGGTGCCGGTTCTGGGGGTGCTGCAGCTGGTGGAGCTGGTCCTGGAGGAGCTAGCGCTAAAGGTGCTGGAGCTGCTGGAGGTGCTGGAGCTGCTGCGGGTTCTGGAGCTGCTGGAGGTGCTGGAGCTGCTGAGGGTACTGGAGCTGCTGGAGGTGCTGGAGCTGCTGGTGCTGGTGGCACTGCATAGCCGCGCCTGTTCTTCGCTCCGCCGTCTCCGTCGTCTCAGCCACCGCCTGACTCTGCGCTTCGCCAGGTTCTCAGTCTCCCTTTGTCTACTGGTCTTCCGTTACAGCCTGGCTCGCCGCTGCTTGCTCCTTCTCCTTACACTGAGCAGACAGGGGGCCTTGCTGAGCGTCGTGAGCCTGTGTCGCGTCCTGTCTCGCCTGTCCGTTCTGGTCGTTCCGGTCGTCGTGTTCCTCGTCCGCGTCAGCCGGCTGTCCCCGGCACCCACCTTGTAGTCCGTCGTCATTCCTCTCCTCCGCAGCGTGTTCCTCTGCCTTGTCCCCCTGCGTCCTCTCTGCCTGATGTTGCGGACCATGAGTTTGACCAGTTTCGTACTGAGCACCCTACTGTCACGCGTCTGTTAGCCACTGTAGTCACTGACCCGTCGTTTGAGTCCACTACTGCGTCTGCCCTAGTCGCTGAGTATGTTGACTTTGCTGCTGCCTGTCGTCTAGACTACGCTGCTAGTCTTGTTGCTGAGTCTGAGTCCGTCTGTCCTCCGTTCGTCGGGGGCGAGTGTGCTCTTAGCACGGACGTCCTTGAGGACAGGCACGAGGACCTTGAGTGTCTTGCGGCCGCTGCGCCTCATGTCATGGACATGCTGCTTGCCCCTGAGGGAGACCCGGATGCACCACACATCCCGACCCCGCGCTCTTACGGTGAGGCGATCGCGGGTGAGTACTCTTCTCAGTGGCAGACAGCCAAGGACGCAGAGATGGCATCCTGGAAGTCCACAGGCACCTACGTCGATGAGGTTCCCCCTCCCGGGGCAAACATCGTCGACGGCATGTGGATTTTCAGGGAGAAGCGGCCGCCAGGTTCTCCGTCTGTCTTGAAGGCTCGTTTCGTTGCTCGAGGCTTCAGTCAGCGAGAGGGAGTTGACTTCTTCCAGACCTTCTCCCCCACCCCGAAGATGACCATGCTTCGGGTGCTGCTGCATGTTGCCGCTCAGCGTGACTACGAGCTTCACTCTCTTGACTTCAGCACAGCTTTCTTACATGGCAGCCTGCACGAGGCGATCTGGCTGCGCCGCCCGCCTGGCTTCACTGGGTCGTTCCCTCCTGGTACCCAGTGGAGCCTCCGACGGCCGGTCTACGGTCTCCGCCAGGCGCCACGTGAGTGGCACGACACACTGAGGACTACTCTTGCGGCTCTTGGTTTCGCGCCTTCTACTGCTGACCCGTCGCTGTTTCTGCGCACCGACACTTCGCTGCCGCCGTTCTACCGTATCACCCCGGATATAAGCGCATATGCGCTTATAATAAATTCATCTTTTTTAGGGGGGGCGCTTGTAATTGAGTAACGGCCATAAGCGCCGACGCTTGTATGATGACAAATACAAAATCATACTTATAGGGTACCAAAAATGTACCTTTCATTGTTGCCACTTCAACCGAGTCGAAGCAATAGGGCGTCTCAAAGCAGAATCGCGCGGAAGCGATTCTGCTTCCTGCACACGGGAAAATTCGCGTCATTCTGCAAGCATGCCAGCACATCCTGACTGGACGCGCAGCCAGTCAGGTCTTCGCGAGTCAAACGAAGCGAAAATGATTTTGGACTCGCTGCAAAAATGAAATTCGCTACTGTTATTAACAAAATTTCAAGTAAAAATTGTACATGCGCTTATAATAAGTAATGGTTTTTTAGGGGGGGCGCTTATAATTGAGGAACGGCCATAAGCGCCATGCTCCAGATATAAGCGCCGGCGCCTTTAATCGGACGGCGCCTGTATCCGGGGTCATACGGTACATCCTCGTGTACGTCGACGACTTGGTCTTTGCCACTGCTGACACTGAGGCTCTCGCCCTGGTGAAGTCGGAGCTGCAGAAGAGACACACGTGCACAGACCTGGGTGAGCTGCGCAGTTACCTTGGCTTGCAGATCACCCGGGACAGAGCACGCCGCACCATCACACTGACTCAGTCACACATGGTGCAGCAGGTCTTTCAGCGCTTCGGCTTCACCTGGTCCTCGCCACAGGCCACTCCTCTGGCTACAGGTCACTCGCTCTCAGCTCCACCTTCGGACGAGTCCGTAGAGCCGAGTGGTCCTTACCCAGAGCTAGTTGGCTGCCTCATGTACCTGATGACCTGCACTCGTCCTGACCTTGCGTACCCTCTTGGCCTTCTGGCTCCTGGTCGGCACCGAAAGGTGCACATGGATGCTGCTAAGAGGGTACTGCGCTACTTGTGCAGTACATCAGGCATGGGGCTCGTGCTTGGAGGACGGGGCGACGTTGTCCTCACTAGTCACTCGGACGCTTCTTGGGTTGACGACCAGGCTACGCAGCGATCGTCAAAGGGTTACACCTTCAGTCTTGGCTCTGGCTCTGTTTCTTGGCGGTCTACTCGCTCGTCTTCTGTTCTTGGCTCCAGTTGTGAGGCTGAGATCTACGCCACAGCCATGGCTGCACAGGAGTTACGCTGGCTCACCTACCTGCTGACCAACTTGGGAGAGAGGCCTCGTTCTCCTCCGGTTCTGTACGTCGACAACAAGACATCCATTGCCTTGTGTCAGGAGCACAGACTGGATCACAGAAGGAAGCACATCGCTCTGCGTTACTTCCTGGCTCGAGAGTTGCAGCAGCGGGGTCAGCTTCGTCTTGCTCACGTGGCCACTCGGGCCAACACTGCTGATATATTCACCAAGGCACTTCCGTCTGGTGATCATCAGCGCTTTTGTACTTTGTTGGGCCTTGTGCCTACGTTTCCACACTTGCTGTAGACTCTGCTTGTATTCTGATCTATATATATACACCTGTATGCTTGCTCTTGCTAGGTAGAGATAACTGTACTGTTCTTGTTGCATATATACCTCTGCATGTGAACTGGCCTTGTGGCCTTTTGCTTGTGCTCAGTGTGTGTGGTGACGTTGTGATCCACCCTGAGCTTGCTTTGCTTTTCTTGACTGGTCTTGTGATCTCTTGCTCTCCCCCACTTTGCCTATGGGGGTGTGTCAAAGATATGCATATGTTATATTTGTGGGTAGGCTGTAGTGGGGTAGATACTGTGGGGTATAACCCCTCTGGGTTTTCTCCTTGTACCAATTCTCTCGATAGTCAACTTCATTGATGCCTAGATTCTAAGACTTAGGGAACCCGCGCTCACGGCTCGTCCGCGCTCGAAATCTCATACGCGCTCGAAATCTCATACGCGCTCGTCGCTCATCCGCGCGCGAAATGCGGGACGCGCTTGTCGCTCATCCGCTCTCGAAATCTCATCCGCGCACCTCGCGCATCCGCGCTCATCTCTCATCCATACTGGCCCACAATCCGCGCTCGTCTCTCATCCGCCGTCGTATTAGGTGCGGGCTCGTCTCTCACTGCATGTGTGCGCGCTGTGAATTCACGAGCGCGCACCTAGACTGCATGTGCGCTATGCCGCCTGCATGTGCGCTATGCGACTGCATGGCCGCAATGCGACTGCATGTGCGCCATGCGACTGCATGTGCGCCATGCGACTGCGGAAGACTGCAGTCCGCGCGCTCTACAACTGCATGCGCCTCCACCCCTCTTGCCTTTCCTGGATCCGCGTTGCTCTCTCCCTCCGTCTCTTCCTCCGCTCTCCCCTCTGCCCCTCCCTCTCCTCCCTGTGCATGAACGACAGGCTCCAACGTCACAGCGCCCACACGCCGCTCCCCCCACCGGGTCAGCGCCCCCCCCGCTCACCAGGCAGCGCCGCGCGCTCTGCTGGCCGCGCGGACAACACGGGCGAGCATGTTGCACGCGGAGTTGGTGAGCGTGCAATTCCCCCTTTGCCCATGCCTATCCGCCTTGCCCATGCCTATCCGCCTTGCCCATGCCTATCCGCCTTGCCCATGCCTATCCGCCTTGCCCATGCCTATCCGCCTTGCCCATGCCTATCCGCCTTGCCCATGCCTATCCGCCTTGCCCATGCCTATCCGCCTTGCCCATGCCTATCCGCCTTGCCCATGCCTATCCGCCTTGCCCATGTCTATCCGCCTTGCCCATGCCTATCCGCCTTGCCCATGCCTATCCGCCTTGCCCATGCCTTTCCCCCTTGCCCATGCCTATCCGCCTTGCCCTTGCCTTTCCCCCTTGCCCATGCCTTTCCCCCCTTGCCCATGCCTTTCCCCATTGCCCGTGCCTTTCCCCCTTTGCCCATGCCTATCCGCCTTGCCCATACCTTTCCGCCTTGCCCATGCCTTTCCCCATTGCCCGACCCTTTCCCCGTTGCCCATGCCTTCTCCCCTTGCCCATGCCTTTCCCCCCTTGCCTATGCCTTTCCCCATTGCCCATCCCTTTCCCCCTTTGCCCATGCCTATCCGCCTTGCCCATACCTTTTTGCCTTGCCCATGGCTTTCCCCCTTGCCCATGCCTTTCCCCATTGCCCGTCCCTTTCCCCCTTGCCCATGCCTTTCCCCCTTGCCCATGCCTTTCCGCCTTGCCCATGCCTTTCCCCCTTGCCCATGCCTTTCCCCATTGCCCGTCCCTTTCCCCCTTGCCCATGCCTTTCCCCCTTGCCCATGCCTTTCCCCCTTGCCCATGCCTTTCCCCCTTGCCCAGACCTTTCCCCATTGCCCGTCCCTTTCCCCCTTGCCCATGCCTTTCCCCCTTGCCCATGCCTTCCCCCCTTGCCCATGCCTTTCCCCCTTGCCCGTGCCTTTCCCCCTTGCCCATGCCTTTCCCCCTTGTCCATGCCTTTCCCCCTTGCCCATGCCTTTCCCCCTTGCCCATGCCTTTCCCTCTTGCCCATGCCGTTCCCCCTTGCCCATGCCTTTCCCCCTTGCCCATGCCATTCCCCATGTGCTCATACCTTTCCCCCATTGCGCACCTCCTCCCCTCCCCTCCCTCTTCCATGGGCAGCTACGTTGACGGAGAGCCAACGGACGGTGTGCAGCGTTTCTTCAAGTGGATGCTGCTGCTGCAGAGGTAGAGGTAAGCAGCGGTGGAGAGGCTAGGTGCAGCGCGTGCGTGTTGCCCTTCATGACTGGTTCATGCTCTGCCGTTAACCTGCCACCACCCCTCTGTTCATACCTCAGTCCCCAGCCGTCCCATGGGCACCTCCTCTGCCCCCACCAGGACGACAACCCCTCGCCACTGGAGGGGCTACGCTTTGCCGTGTTTGGGAAGTCGGATTTTGCCCCAGGGGTAGTTCTGTTTTGCCCCCAGGGGTACTTCTGTTTTGCCAGAAGTAGAAATTTCTCACCTGCCCTTACGGGGGGACTCTGTTTCCCGCACCTGAAGACTTTCCCTCTCTCCTCTCCTCGTCACCACTCCGTCCCTCCTGTTTTCCCATCCCAACCGACCAGATTTTGATTTTCAACCCCAGGCCATTCTCTTTCCAACCCTAGAAAATTCTCTTTCCCTCCATGCGAGATTCTAAATCTCGGGCAAGTTCAGTTTTGGCCCAAAGGGTAATTCTGTCCTGTCCCCAGTAGAAATTCTATGTTGCCCCCAAGGGGTAATTCTGTTTCCCCCACCCTATTCCATTCCAACCCATCCTCTCCTTCCTCAACAACCCATGGTTTGGTGCATCTGCTCATTGCTCCTCGAGCCAGCCCCTCTAGCCATTTGATGTGGCCTCCATTTGCCCAGGGCAACTCCCCACACGCTAGACACTGTAGCACCCCACCCCACCCCACCATACACCACCCCACCTCTCCTCTTGACCCCTCCCATCCCAACTCCCGGTTTCCCGTCCATTCCCAGGGCGAAGCCCTCACTACAGTACAGCACTGTCGCCTGGGATTATAGGCAGCACTCACCTGCACAGGTGCCATCGCCCTCGACCCCTGCGCATAACAACACCGATAACAACTCCAGGAACAACTCCCTTTACAGTTGGCCGCCGCACCAATGCCTGCATGTGTAGAACGCCCACGGTGGAAGGGGGCAATCATATCGCACCAACTTGCTGCCTTACGTGCGCTGTTGTCGCTGCTTGTTTCATCGCACTCCCCACCCCTCTACCCTCTTACGCTCATCACTCTGTTCCATCCACAACTCCCAAGTCCGTTCCCGCTCATGAGCTCTCCGCAATCATTTCTTCCATCTTGTCAAATCAAACTTTCTCTGCTTCCATCGAACTCAATAGTTTCACATAAACTTACCCATTGACATGCTCAGTGCCACCACCCCATTCTTCCACTTTATTCTCCTAACCATTATCCCCTCACCTATCTCATTCCGTGACCACGCCGTACCTACTCCAAACTCACCCTGCATCTCACATCTCATTCCCCACAAATTCGGGTTCCCAACACACCCACTCTGATATCGCATGCTCTTGCCAACTCTTATTGCTCCACTACGATCCCGCCTCCCACAATACCTGATTTCTCCAGTCCTATGCTTCCTTTTCACCCACTCCTGTGTACAGGCCCTGTTGACGGCATTGTTTCGGTGCATGCATTTGTTGAATTATATTGCATATCTTATAACTGCCTACAGCTAGCTAGTGTACTAGTTTAGGTATTAGCATCAACTGCTGGTGGTGTACCCTCCCTTTTGCCCATTCCTATATCTTGTATTCATTCCATAGTGAAACTCCTCTTTTGGCCAACTTCCCTCTCCATGGTTCTCCTTGCTGAACCTCTCCAAAACCCTAGTTCCTAATCTCCTAAGTTTCCAAACTACTATGGTTCTCAACAGCATTCGCCTCATAGATGCTAATGGATCAACCTACCAAACTATTCCAACAATGCAGCTTCCTTAATGAATTATACGGAAGGGAGATTGTGTACTAGGATGCCTAGAATTGGAGAATGGTATGGATTGTGTAAGCAAACCCTAAAACCGACAGTGTCAAAACAAACAATCAGAGTTCAGGGTAACTATCACACATGCCGTGCCATTATTAGAGGACAATGATGTTGTGAAGTTAGCAACCGCAAAAGCAGTGTGATGGTGCGGCGTGCCATCAGTCAGTGTGACTGAGTCAGTGTGATGGTGCGGCGTGCTCTGTCCCGGGTGATCTTCAAGCCAAGGTAACTGCGCAGCTCACCCCGGTCTGTGCACGCGTGTCTCTTCTGCAGCTCCGACTTCACCAGGGCGAGACCCTCAGTGTCAGCAATGGCAAAGACCAAGTCGTCAACGTACACGAGGATGTTGAACGGCGGCAGCGAAGTGTCGGTGCGCAGAAACAGCGACGGGTCAGCAGTTGACGCAGTAAAGCCAAGAGCAGCAAGTGTCGTCCTTAGTGTGTCGTGCCACTCACGTGGCGCCTGGCAAAGACCGTAGACTGGCCGTCTGAGGCTCCACTGGGTACCAAGAGGGAACGACCCAGTGAAGCCAGGAGGGCGGCGCAGCCAGATCTCCTCGTGCAGGCTGCCCTGTAAGAAAGTTGTGCTGAAGTCAAGAGAGTGAAGCTCGTAGTCACACTGAGCGGCAACGTGCAGCAACACCCGAAGAGTGGTGGGGGAGAAGGTCTGGAAGAAGTCTACTCCCTCTCGCTGACTGAAACCTCGAGCAATGTAACGAGCCTTGAAGACAGACGAAGAACCTGGCGGCCGCTTCACCCTGAAAATCCACATGCCATCGACGATGTTCGCCCCAGGAGGGGGAACCTCGTCAACGTAAATGCCTGTGGACTTCCAGGATGCCATCTCTGCATCCATGGCTGTCTGCCACTGAGAGGAGTACTCACCAGCGATCACCTCAGCGTAAGAGCGCGGGGTCGGGATGTCTGGAGCATCCGGGTCTCCCTCAGGGGCAAGCAGTATGGACACGAGATGAGGCGCAGCGGCTGCAAGACACTCAAGGTCCTCGTGCCTGTCCTCAAGGACGTCCGTGCCAAGAGCACACTCACCCCCGACGAACGGAGGAAAGACAGACTCAGCAACAAGACTAGTGGCGTAGTCTAGACGACAGGCAGCAGCAAAGTCAACAAGCTCAGCGACTAAGGCAGACGCAGCAGCAGACTCAAACGACGGGTCAGTGACAATTGTGGCTAGAAGACGCGTGATAGTAGGGTGTGCAGCACGAGCGCGGTCAGACTCAGGCTCTAGAACGTCAGGCAGAGAAGACGCAGAAGGACACGGCAGAGGAACACGCTGCGGAGGAGAGGAAGGACGACGGACTACGAGGTGGGTGCCGGGGACAGCCGGCTGACGCGGACGAGGAACACGACGACCGGAACTACTAGAACGGACAGGCGAGAAAGGACTCGACGCAGGCTCACGACGCTCAGTAAGACCCCCTGTCTACTCAATTTAAGGAGAAGGAGCAGGCAGCGGTGAGCCAGGCTGTAACGGAAGACCAGTAGATGAAGGGAGACTAAGAACCTGGCGAACCACAGAGTCAGGCGGTGGCTGAGATGACGGAGACGGTGGAGCGAAGAACAGGCGCGGCTGTGCAGTGCCACCAGCACCAGCAGCTCAAGTGCCCCCAGCAGCTCCAGCACCTCCAGCAGCTCCAGAACCCTCAGCGCCAGCTCCTCCAGGACCAGCTCCACCAGCAGCAGCACCCGCAGAACCGGCACCTCCAGTCCCAGGGTCTCCAGCCTCAGTGTCTCCAGCAGCAGCACCCCCAGACCCAGGGTCTTCAGCAGTAGCACCTTCAGGCTCAGCACCTCCAGCCTGAGCAGCTCCAGTACCTCCAGTACGAGCACCTCCGGGACCAGCACCACCCCCAGCTCCAGTGAAGTTAGCAGAAGTACCTCCAGCGGCAGAGCCCCGAGCTCCAGAAGCGCGACCCTGACGGCGACCGTACCAGTCGTGCAGCTGCTGTGGGTGAGAGGCACACGCGGACGAAGCCGGCTACTCCAAGGAGACCGCCCAACAGAAGACTCAGAACCCTCAAGCGTCGCACCTCCAGCACCAGCACCCGCAGCAGCTCCAGAACCTCCAACTCCAGCGCCACCAGTGCCAGCACCTCCAACAGCTCCAGAACCTCCAGCGCCAGCACCCGCAGCAGCTCCAGAACCTCCAGCTCCAGCGCCACCAGCGCCAGCACCTCCAACAGCTCCAGAACCTCCAGCGCTAGCACCCGCATCAGCTCCAGAAACTCCAGCTCTAGCGCCACCAGCAGTAGCACCCCCAGACTCAGCACCCCCAGGCTCAGCACCTCCAGGCTCCGCACCCCCAGGCTCAGCACCCCCAGAAGCAGCACCCCGAGCAGGACCACCCTCAGCAGGACCTGAGTCACCAGTGACCTCAACCAGCGCAGTCAAGGGGGGAGGGTCTACCTGAGACACACCTGAAGGAGCAGGACCGCGAGCGGGGAGGGGGACTACCTGGGGAGCACCTGGAGCGAGGAAGAGCAGCGGGGGGGGGGGGGAGAGGGGCAGTGCGGTAGGGGAAGAGACGGTAAAAGGGAACCGACTCGTCGAACGTGACGTCCTGAGAGGGGAAGACACGGCGCGAGGTGGGGTGGTAAAACTACCAACCTGGCGCGTCAGGGACAAAGCCAAGGAAGACACAGGGAACAGCGCGGGCGGAGAGCTTGTCCGCGGTGGTATCGCGGACAAAGGCACGAGAACCCCAGACCCAGAACACCGACGCATCGCCAACCTCCCCCGTCCACCGCAGTGTGGCAGAGGTCTCTGGCAAGGAGACACGGGGCCAGAGGTTGAGCTGATGCGCGGTGTAGCGGACCACAAACGGCCACAGAAAATGGGGGGGCAGCCGCATGGACCATGGATGTACGAGCGACCTCCATAACCAAGCCGATGCGGCGCTCAGCAACCCCATTCTGCTGCGGAGAGGCCGGAAGCATGAACGTCTCGCGAATGCCCTCCCCACGACAAAAGCTCTGCAGAAGGTCAGAGGAAAACTCCCCACCTCTGTCAGAGTGCAGACGCAGGATGGGAAACTCCGTCCCGAACCGCTCGCGGAGCTGGAGACGGGCAGCGCGGATCCAAGGGATCAAAACATTAGGGACCTCACCCTTGGTGCGCAAGGGGAAGACCGTGGTGTAGCACGAGTAGTCGTCAACAACCAGCAGGAAGTACCGCTCGCGG